GAAATAACTGATAAAACTCATTTTGTATTAAACAATAAATTATCAATATTGATCTACAGTTAGCAACTGCAACGGCCCAAACACAAACCTCGTTCACTTTGTCAGCTCTGTCGATAAAGCCAAACGATTCCTTGAGCGAGCAGACAATCCTTGAACGTAAACAGGAGGCGAAGCTTCGAGCAGCAACAACTCCACGGCACAGCATTGTCCATTTCTATAGAGGTTTATGAACTGTAGCAGTGCATCAAACAAACAATAATTTGGACATGGCTCGTAAATTGGACATGGTTCGTGTAAATAATAAACTAACGTTCATGTTATAAGCCTTAACCAAAGCGTTTTCCTGTGTAAGGTAGCATATCAAAACGTAGAAATAAGGAGAAAGACTTCACCAAAATAGAAAGAACATTCTTAAAGTGGTACTAAGACGAAAACTGAACGTTAAAAAATCATCGATTTTAGCATTCAATAGTTTAAACACATATCAATTATAGCTTTCGTAAAATTTAAACCAAAATGTAAGGTATAACAGGGAGTTATATGAACATTTTAGAGTATCTAATTTTCGAAGTTTGTATTGCAAATCCATTTTCTGGTAGGTATAACATCACTTACAACCACACCGAATAAGGAGGTATCCGCTGTACACTGGTAAGACAACTCAGAAATAGTACATAGTAAAGCAAGATCGTATGAATTCGATCATTAATAAAGCTCTGGAATCCACTAGTATAGAACCTAAAGAACAGATAATTTAATCTAATAAAATGATTTAAAGGAATCGATACCATGAACAAAGCATACCATGTGCATTGAGGTTACAGGGATTAGAACTTTGATTTATAGGAAATTATAATTTACTTGTTTTTTAGACATCATTTCATCGTGGTTATACATACCATTTCTGTATGTTACAATAATCTCTGAAATTTTACTAATTTTTCTCATCTGGTTTACACCATGGTGACACTAAACTTACGAAATTTTAAGTCCTCGTAAAAGAAATTTCCTTATTTTATATCCATCATTTCATCATGGTTATACATACCATTTTCCAGTATGTTTATAATATCTGAAATTTTACTATTTTCTCATTTGGTTTTACACCATGAAGTGACACACAAATTACAGGAATTTTAAGTCCTCGTAAAAAAATTTACTTGTTTTTATCCATCATTTCATCATGGTTATACAAACCATTTTTTCCGGTATGTTTTATAATGTCTGAAATTTTACTAATTTTCTCATTTGGTTTTACACCATAAACACACAAACCGCAGAATTTTAAGTCCTCACGTAAAGATTTACTTGTTTTTGAGACATCATTTCATCATGGTTATACATACCATTTCTGTATATTTGTATAATCCTCTGAATTTTACTAATTTTTCTCATCTGGTTTTACACCATGGTGACACACAAACCTTTGAAATTTTAAGTCCTCGTAAAAGGGTACTTGTTTTTTTTATCCATCATTTCATCATGGTTATACAAACCATTTCCGGTATGTTTATAATCACAAATTTTACTAATTTTCTCATCTGGTTTACCACTTAGTGACCCACAAACTACAGAATTTAAGTCCTCAATAAAAATTTGCTTGTTTTCTTATCATTTCATCATGGTTATGCATTACCATTTTCCGGTATGTTTTATGATGTCTAAATTTTACTAATTTTTTCTCATCTGGTTTTTGCCATGAGAGTGACACCTGAGCCTCGGGGAATTTTTAGGTCCTCACGTATGGATTTCCATTTCATCCATTCCATTATATTCCTTCATTTCCAGTCCATTCCATTTATCCATTGCATGATTCCATTTCCATTATCTTCCATTACTTCCTTCCATTCCATCCATTATTTCCATTTATCCATTTCATCCATAATTCCATTCCATATTTCCTGTGGCCACTAAAACACAAATTTTAAGTCCATCATTACTTATTTTTTATCCATCATTTCATCTGTTATTCAACCATTTTCCAGTATAATATTTATCAAATTTTAATTTCTCATCTAATTTCCCATGGTGACACACAAACACAGAAATTTTAAGTCCTCGTAAAATTTACTTACATTTTATCCATCCATTCATCATGGTTATACATACCATTTTTCCAGTATATTTTATAATATCTAAAATTTTACTAATTTTCTCATCTTATTTACACCATAGTAACACAAACTGAAATTTGAGTCCTCGTAAAATTTACTTATTTTTTTTATCCATCCATTTCATCATAGTTATACAAACCATTTTTCCGGTATATTTTATGATATCTAGAAATTTTACTAATTTTTCCTCATCTGGTTTTACACCATGGTGACACCTAAGACCACAGGAATTTTTAAGTCCTCGTAAAGGGAATTACTTGTTTTTATTCATCATTTCATCATAGTTATACATACCACATTTCCAATTTATGTTTTATGATATCTGAAATATTACTAATTTTCTCGTTTAGTTTATCACCATAGTGACACACAAACACACAGAAATTTTAAGTCCTCGTAAAATTTAGCATTTTTAGCCATCATTTTCATCAGCAAAAGTTTATACATACCATTTTTCCAGTATGTTTTATAATATCTAATTTTACTAATTTTCTCATATAGTTTTACACCTTTGTGTACAAACACGAAAGAATTTTATATCCCCTCGTAAAAAAATTTACTTGTTTTAGCCATCATTTCATCATGGTTATACACCGCCATTTTTCCGGTATATTTTACCAATATCTGAAATTATTTCAGAGTAGAGACTTTAAAGCAAGGCAGCGAACCGTTGTTTTGGCCTCCTCCACATCCCATTTGTTTCGCCATCTGCCAGGATTAATCCCAGCCTTCAAATTAAATCAAGTGAATCAATCTTCAATATTTTCATTGTTTTTATTTACATATTGTACACCAATCTCAGAGGATGATTGATGAGAAGAAGGAATTTGATGAAGAAAGTAAAACAGAACAACTCGAAAAATTTTAAATAAAGAAAGAACTGATGAGATCCTTTATCGTATGGAGAATACGTTCATGAAATTAAGGTAATGTTAGTATGGAATTTAGTATACAGAGAGACAACTCACTGCTTCTCTTAACTTTTATTTTAATTAGTTTACTGGACACTTAGAAAAATGAAAAGAGACAAACACAATCATTTTAGTCCAAGGAGAGACAAATTACCACTAACTATCTTTTAAGAAATAATATAAGAACATTTAAAACACGAACTACTATTTGCTTTTATTCCCAAGAAGGCAAAATCAGATGCAGATATTGGAAAGTGTCTATGCTCCTAAATAGAAGATAAAAGAAGTGATAAAGCAAGAAAAGAGATTCAAGAAAACAAATTTATTGATAACAGAGCTGCATTAAATAACATAAAAGAGGATGAAAAGAATGATGAACGTCCAGGAAATTACAAAAACAGCATGCAAAATAGACGTTTTTTTCTATACCCATCAGAAGAGGATACACAATTAGTGAATTTACAACAGATGAGAACTGTACGAAAAGATAAGAAAACTTTTAGAAACTCATTTATTTTTTTAAATTTCAAAACAGTACCACAATTCATTTTTAGAGAGAAATAACATATTATTTCGGCACCAATGTTAAAAAGACCCTAAAATATGTTAAGAACTAATACCAATTTATTTGGACTTGGCTGATACCTCAACATCCACGAAAATTTAAAAGTATAGAAATGCTAATGTTTATTATTCAGTTAGACAGTTTCTAATCCAATGACAATTTATTTGATTCCTTAATAATGTGCATTAAGTCCAGAAAAGACCTCATGGGCGTTCCACGCCATTACGACACAAGTTGTCCTGGAGACATTTTCAACGCTTTAAGCATTGATCCCAATAGACTTCAACTCGATTCATTTCTATGGAGTTGCACATCAATATCATTTGCATCGAAGTATGTACACTCTATGGAAATCTAAGATTTTTATTTATAAAAGAAACACGCTTTTCTAGCGCTCACGACAAACAAGTAAAGCAATTTCAAATGAAGAAATTATAAAAGAAATACAAGATTTCAACACTGAAGGTGAACATTCTCAAAATTCAAATCACAAAGAAAATTCTTTAATATTAAACAAATTTAGAAAACCAACATGACAAGCAAATTATTCCCTTTTTTAGAGGTTACCCTTACTAACACTGATGTAAGTCGAGTAATTGTTTGACAAGCATAAACACATTGATCTACAAAGTCAATGTATGGATATGTCACAAACGTTGTTATTTAATCACCATTCAGGTTGCAAGGCAAAAAAATGGTCACGATTGCGGCGTATATTTGTTAGAGTTTGCAAGAGTAATAATAAAGGAGGTATTTTGTTATGTAGACATTTGCTGTCGCAAAATACGCAAATAATTTAAAAGCAACATATTCCAGTATGTGACATATAACAGATAATTTTATCATATTTTAGGGATGCATCAACTCATCGATAGAAAATATAAACAGTGAGGAAGACACGCAGCTAAAGAGCTTCTTCAGTCCCTGTAACAGTCGACCTGTTTACACACAATGAAAAACAGGCGTTATATAAATGGTCAATGCTCCGCACATTTGTTCAATTACTTCTTCATATAAACTCTGATTGTGTCATGAGGTGCAACATTACTACTCCATAGAATAATCGTGGAGTAAATATATATACTTAATAACTAATGAGTACCAGCATTATCCATTGACGTTGAAAAGCTATAATATCGTGCGAGTTATGATTTCAACATTTTAAAAATTGATTTCATTCATTTTCATATCCAAAATTTTTCATTATGCTATAAATGCGAAAATATAAGAAGCTGTTTGAGGACAAAATGTTACAGCTATACGTTACGCAGACATGTCATAAATATGACGTATTTTCTTTAAAATGATGAATTTAGAAAAATATTTCAACTGTTACTTAGACTTTTTTTGTTTGTTCCAAAGTGTTAGCATTTCGTTTCAACATGGTTCCCAATTAAATAATACTGGCTTTCAAATACTACTTATCTGATAATATTGCTGATTGCAAGAAACGTTTCCCTCTGGAACATCCCGTCCAGGATTGCATTTTATTATGCGCAACATGTTTCTGTACCAAATATACAATTTCGAAAATAGCAAAAAGTTGTCATATTCCATGTATGAAACCATTGACGCAAGTGGCTTCATTACAGAGTTACACTGCTCTGCAGCTTGGCTGTTGTGCGTTTTTAAAATGGGATATCTATTAATATCGTATCCCTCAGAGCAACCTATAAGAGTCAAAGATATGAGTCGTTTCAATTTCGACACACTTAGCATAATAAAATACGAGTTTTATACCAGAATGGTTTCTCCAATGAAACTTGTCGACGATGAATTTGGATTTTTTAAAAAAAGCAGGATCGCGGTTAAGGCAGTACTCGTGTAGTTTGCACGCGTTGTCATAGATCACTAGTTCAGGAGCTAAACATTATAAGTTTATTTGTTTACAATTGGGAGTAACGAAACGCTAACAATTTCACAATTCTCGTAAAAGAATGAGAAATACCTCAAAAACTTCAAATTACCTTCAGAAAATCGAGTTCTTAAAATGGTAAAAGGAACATTGGGTGATTCATGATCGGGCATCACTTGAAAGCCGTAACAAATACCTAAAAAACAATAAAAAAATCTCATAATTTTTCAATGAGGAGAGTTTACGGGATGAATTTTCCTGTCATTCTATGATCAAGAACATTAATGCTTCTTTGCCATACCGTGCGGACATAAAATAAGAATATCCCAGGAATTAAAGACCCATGCTTCTTCTTTGAACGAACGCCTTTGGCACAATCATCTAAATGACCAGCTCTTTTGTGTCAAGAACATAGTGCCCACGTTCAACAAGAGAAGGCAAAGATGGAAAAAACCTAACTGACCATCACACTGAACTTGGGAAGGTTGTGGGGCAAACGCTCACACCGTTTGGTCAGTAAAAGGACTGGACGCTTTGGCGACCATTTCCCCACAAAAACACGTATGGGGTTTGGCAGCTCTGCAAAATGATTGCAAAGACAAAACAAGAGGGGACCTGTTCGTGCAAAAGTTGTAAATCAGACAATGGATTGTCCTTTGGATTTGCTCCGTTGGCAATTCTGATCAACAAATCCTTCACCCTCTCACAGGAGGTACAATTGCACAAACAGGTTTATCTGACGCAAGTGCTTTGAGAAGTCTTATGCAAGGTTCTGGAAACGTGACACCAAAATGTTCCTCTCTAAGGGATACGATTAGCATTTTAGGCCAGGAGATGAAATCTAAATAAACGAGCAATAGTAAAATAGCCTGTAAAAATAGCTACAACATGTTCTTAGCATATTGTACATCAATAAACAACTAACAACATTCATACTTCCGAGGTTAATTCCACGAGTTCGTCTTCTGTAATTTGGTTCTTTATAAATTTCTTCAACAACTCTCTGCCTCTTCCGATTGAGGAAGTTCCGCGTTTCGAACCTAGTGTTGGAAAAAATCCGCCCCAAAATAAAACACATGTCCAGCTAGCCAATGAAAAAATACACACCCAGAAAAAACACTTATCTTCCATCCATCGTAGGGCCTTCTGGGGAGCTACCTTACGAGGCAAGAAGGTTTTTTGGATACCAAGTGCCGTACCGTCCATAACAACTTTTTTCGGATGTTTTCCACAGATGTTACAATGAAAAGCGTCAACAAAGTCAATGTCAAGTAATCTAAATAGCGTAAAAAATCAGTGTTGTATCCAGCAAGGATTTTTTAGATCTATGGTTAAAAACCAATTAACATAGTTATTCTTAAAAGCGGATACAATACTGCCTGTTTTTGTCAACAAAATAAATAAGAATGCCATTTGATCTATTCAGTGTTGCCACTTCATAAGGAAAGTAAAATGATAGTAAATAAATGTTCAGACTTTCTTGGACATTAAAAGTAGGATAGTGTTTTCATTTTTTGTACCTCTCTATGTACCCTTTGTTGACCATTACCTACAGGTGGGAGCACCTCTGTGCACCTACACTCCCCACCCTTATCATAAATTCACCACCAATGAAATGATCAAATGCTAAACATACGTAAGTGCTACAGATATATATATATATTGGTAGCATACGTACTTTTATCATTTATATTTAGCATTACAACAAAAGTTAATTTAAACAAACGAATATCCGATCAAATAAACTTTTAAATACATGTAACTCACCTAAAAAATTGGTGCAGGTTGAAATAAAAAAAACAAAGTTACCTAATCATTGCAGTAACTGCCAGACGAAACTTGGTGTAAGTTATAATGCCAGAAAAATTCAAATTTACTGAGATAACTTGTCTTTGGACGTACGTCACGTAATATTTATACATGGGCAGGCTAAACCATTTAAAAGATGAAAAGATGTTTTCATGAATTCATAATTAATCATGTAGATAAAAATGTTTACTTTATACTTGATAACTGACTATCACACGTACCTTGAAACCAAAAAATGCCTTATATAATCTTTGAGGACTGCATGCGAAATGGAAAATGATCCAAACCACAAGACGTTGTTCTCGATACCATCGTACCGCTTCTTGTTTGTGCATGTAGAACACAGTCGATAATACACTAAAATTCACAGAAGATTGTAGTCGTGACACTAATACAAAGAAAGTAATAAATAATTCAGTTTACAAACCATTCACACAGTGGAAATCATAAAGATACGCCACATGACAGCCTTCCACATCCAGCCAGTCATCTGATACATCACGCTTATCCCAAGCAGCACCACAAGAGCAAGTACCACAAGCACTAGGTACGAATATCTTTGACCAGTTCATAGCCAGAAGCTTAGCAAAATGATTGGCATCATTCTCATCACAACCTGTGTGAAAAATGAGTATTGAAATTTAAATGACGATTCCATGTTTTTTGGCCACCCATTACACAAACACATATATATTATTTCCATTTACTACACTACTTTACCTATTTCAAATAATTTAACTTTTTTTCACTACGAGTTGCCAACTCGTAGTAATTTCTCATTTCAGGTGAGGTTTCAAAGCTAACTTAAAATATGCTAGCTGCGAGTCGTCATCATCTTGTACGATTTCCAGCGCCTTCCCAAGATTGTAACATGAATGCAGAGGTAAGATGAACAATTAGAACATCTTAGCTCTGCTTGAGGTAGTGCTACTTTAGAATAAGTAAATGTGCACACGCCATTCGCGATTGACTGGTTTTACAGCAATCCAGTTGGGACCACCACTAACGGCTTTAAACAAGTCCTGTAACATGAAGGAGCTATCGTAGAACATATTATAATTTAATCAATGACTGCAAGTAAAACCTCTTTAGGAAACATTCCACAGTATGAATGATCTATTGGGTCAGATGTTCCTGATTTTTCCACAACTTAAAAATTAAAAACAAACATACCATCAATTTTATGCAAAATTACTTTCACAGGTTGGCATGATATTAGCATACTGTTCTCATATAGCAAAATAACCACCATTCTGCATTATTACATGTTTCTGGATGTAGATCGTCCAGGTTAGTAGAGTCCTGAAAATGACTGTTATTGTTGGTGTTGACTGACGTTTCTACAACCTTAGCGGTAGTCATCTTCAAAAATTTTTGATCTGAACATCAACACAAACAGTCCTTCTCAGGACTCAACTACCTGGACGACCTACATCCACAAACATGTCACGATACTCCCGAGTTCAAACCATTTACTTTATTCTGCATTATGAGAACAATAACATACTCTTGAAAAAACTTGATTCTTGTGAGGTTATTCCCAAATTTTCATCATAAGTCTCAAAAATCTTTCCATTGCCAATATATGTAAGCATTTTGGATAGCTTACAACTATTAAAGAGTATTCCAGAAGTTAGTGCTTAAATTTACAATTAGTCATTTTAATAATCTTGTATACCTTTATCTGTACTTAAATTAGTATTTGAGCTAAGGGCCTGCACAAATTCCAGTGAATCGATCACATGAACAGCCAAACAACCAGACAAATCCATTTACACGATAATGAGGGTACCGATGAACAAACACATATGAAGTGTGCTTAATTAAATGTAAAATATATATGAATATAACATTATAAAATACATTCACTACTAAGGAGCTCACCATAATTTTTCTTTTCTCCACATTATAGTCAAGAATAGCAAATGATTGATGTTCCCCCAAATTTGTTACTGCAGAAAATTGAAGCAATAACCCAGTATAATGCAAAACAGCTTCAATATTTTTCTAGAAAAAAACAATACATTTTGTTGGGAACTTAAATTCTTTGACTCAAGTTTAAATTGTTTCAAGAGGAAAATAACTCCAGTCAACAAAGTGGTTACAGTTTTCTTCTAGGCAGAGAACGGAAATTACATTCATGATAAGTTTCATATGAAAACATTGTATGCCAGGGTTAGAGTGGTCAGTGTTAACAGCATAATGTGCTTCCTAGGTTGTGGTAGGGTTCTTTTCTGTGAGACCAATGCATGTTATGAGTGTGTTGTTTCTCCTAAAGTTTTACATTATCTTGGTGATTATTTGAACAAGTTTCCATTAAGGGAGAAATATTTATCTTGTTGACATAGTGATTATTGAGTCATGAATAAGTTGTTATGATTGTCAATAATGTTTGATTATGAATGCTAACTGAAGTACTTAAAGATTTATTTGATCTATAATATTTTATGATATGCTTATTAATTTGAGAAATGAAAAACATGATTAAGGTGTTTCACTATAAACATTACTCACAATAAGCTTAGTCAACTTATAGTCACTTTTATATATTTATACATAAACATTGTGTCCTCCTCATGATTACCATATACATAGATGGTAACCCTGCACTTTGGCAGAAAGTATATTGCATATTATAGGTGAGGATCACATTAAATACATTATAGTAGATTGCATCAAGCATAAATCCTGAGTTAAGTTTTAAACTATTAAGATTTCATCTTATCTGTGCTACTTTATTTCATATTGCTCTGAGCACTATATTTGTATCTGCAAGTTGCACTTACTTCATCAGGTTGAGATTTGTCGACATCAACGGTAATAGTTTCATCAATATTCTGGGAAATCTAAAGAGTTTATAATATTACTTTGGCTTTCTGACAAGCATAAAGAATTTACTGTATTACTTTACAGAAACCTGAATAATTCAACTAAAACTAACCAGATGCAACGGTTGTTCAAGAGTGATGTTTGACTCAACACATTCTTCTAACAATGGATGATCATCATGCATTTCCTAAGAGAAAGTTTGCAATGCTCCATATATGATAAGTAACATATTTAATTTTTCATTTCACCTAAGGTTCACAACTTTAATGCAACACATCCCACACAGATATTTCAGACTTCATAATTTTGAGATACTTAGAGACTAACCACATTACATTCCACTTAGTCTTCGTTTGATTTAGATTGACTGCTATGAGGGGCCATCTATTTTGTGATGAAACAATGTATTATAAGTTGTCAACTAAAACATATTTCACACATATGTTTACTACCACTAAACAATTAACTTGCAATAGGAAGAAAATGTATCTGTTCGGCGCTGCTGGTGGGCTTACAACAATCAAGCTTAAATGCAATATATTTCCTTCTTACCTTTCTGTACAAGCTTTGTTGAACATGCCAAAATTTTATAAGCAACATAATTGTACTAATATGTACAGAGACCTTTTGAGAGCAAAGTAGGAACTCCAAAATAGTTCACAAATTCCAAAGTCAACTATCAATTCTTGCACATTAGTGAATATGTTAAAATATTTAAACCAAAGAGGGCTATCTATATGTACTTGAAACAATGTATACCACCACAATTATCATCCGTAGATAACTCCCCTACAAATGCAAGTGAATGAATGGCTTTAATAATTTCACAATCATAAGCATTATGTAATACGAAAAGCAGCTTGATTGTTTGTAGCCCACCAACAGCAAATTTCCATCATGAAAGTATATGGATGGAGAGTATTATCTCAAAGATCAGATGTGGTAGTTGAAATGAAACTTCATTTCTTAAGTTGAAGCTGAAATTGAGTTACTTGAAACAAATTAATTTTTATCCTACCGAATCAATAGGTGATCGTCGAGGGCCTCGAGTGTAGAAAAACGTCTTTGAACGCTTAAACTTTTTCCCAAAACGATACATTTTTTCATTAACCTTCGAAACTCCAATAGCCAATTTGTTGTTAGGAAGTTACTACTCCATGTGACTTTGATTTAACGGAAGATATCAATTTGCATTATCATATGAATTAAATATCTAGTAGCAAATCTACTACTACAAGTGTAAATATGCCAAGTTGCCAACTTGTGCTAACTGTGAGTTATTTTAAACATATTATTTCAAATAAAACATAAAGATTCCATTAATGATCACTCTATAAGTGTTAAAACATAAAAAAGTTTGTAAAATGTAGATGGTTGTAAGTGTGGTTATGCATACCATTTTCCAGTAGTAAAACATACCACAATTTTTACAATCCGCCATATTACATGATATCAGTGAACTCTTGAAAGTTGAAACACCGGGCACTTCCGGTCATCTGTTTATGTGACGTTTTAACCGGAGATACTCGTGAGAGGGTCGGCTATGTTTTCCGTGACTAAAGCCTGATTCGCTGTTTCGCACAAGTCTTCAATACCCTCATAAAGATACCTTCATGTTTCATTGTAATCGCTCTGTATTTCTGTATTTGTAACAAGTTGATAATTTCCGTAAATAAAGCATAATTCGAAAGCAAATGTAAGTTATGGCCGCGTTTAAACAGAGATCAATCTTTCGGTGGTGTTCAGGCCGGTGTAGAAAAACGAGGAGAGGGGTTAACAACAGACTATTCATTAACGATTTGATTGTCACCAATTAACTTGAAACCACTCGGCTCCTTCCTTAGTATTCAACCAAAGGACGTGTTTTGCAATAGAGCTTTCTGACACATACATTTTTCATGTTTTTTAAAATGTCAAGTCGTTGCTTCCAACCCATTTCTTCTTCTTCGTTAATCACTAATCTACAGCCGAAGTACAACGTTCCTAGCACTCTCGCAATCAAATCATCAGGAAATTCAATTAACTCGATAAATTTGGATATTTTCTATAAATATCATCAAGAAAGGACAAGAAGATGGTTTGAAGTACCATTTTTTTAACAGTAACAAAGTTGGTAACAAAGTAAACTCCATCCACTAAAACTTCCTGTTTCTTACGTCAGGTAAATTAATGAGATGACAGTGCGCACACATTAATACATATTCCACAAACTCCAAAATACATGAACGTATCAAAATCCCCCCCCCCCTCCCTTTCTCATTAAAATAAATTACTGAACATGCTACGCCAATGTTTGTTTGTAATTTAACTTTATTTCTTAGTTAATGTATTTAGATAAAAAGTATTACAGCCGTTATCCTATTTTAAATATTGACTACATCCTTAGTCTAAAAATTTGATGTTATGTTCCAAATTGTTTTCAAATACTCTTCAGAATCATTCACTCTTATAGTTAAAAAGGAAATAAAAATTTTATGCTTAATTATATTCTTTTATAGTACGCTAAATTTCAGCAAACGTCTAAAAACTTCGCGAAAAAAATTCAACTTCCCCCATTTTTGAGAACTTTTAGTAGCTGTCGATTGACTACAGAACGCAGTTCACTGCACGGTAGCAGAGTTTGAGTTGATCCTAACAAAAACAATGACCAATATGACAAGAATAATGACCAAAACAGCAGCTACAACTGCACCAGCAATGGCTCCAGTGTTTCCACCGTCTACAAGATAAAAACGAATGACAAATCTTAATATTACCAACAAATGTTGTCTTTCAGCGATCACTTCACTAAAGCTGAAGGTGTAACCGCTCTCACACCTCATGTAGTCATTCCTGTTAACTATTCATGATTTATTTATGGTATATATTAGGTTTTGGAACGCAAGGCAGTTATTTGTTGGAATTAAATCGGTTGTATAATCAAATAATATCTCTACTCATCGTTAAAAAGTTTTCGGGCATTTGTCTAAACTGAGATTTGTAAATATTTTAAGTATTACACTTCAGATATCGATACACTTCCCCTAAGCTAATGAAAGCAAACACAAACCTGAAAAGTCCTGCTTGTGGGCAGTTGCTGCCACTCGACTCCAGTCAGTGGAATAATAATCACCCTGAAACGAAGTGAGCATTTATATTTGAATAAAAATTGCAGCAATCAATGCTGATGAAAACGTAAATAAATGGTCGCACCTGATCATTTATGAAAACGCGCTGAAATATTTTGTAGTTAGTGCCAGGCTTTAGCCGGCCATTATAATAATTTTCACCATTGGAACGCAGTATTGTGGTTTCACCGTAACCAAGTGTAAAATTAGGCTTAAAGTCTCTGCGAGAGACTACAGCAGCAATATACGGCATTGGTTGAGTGGAAGATATGGCCTTAGAATAGGTCACTAAGTCTGTGTTGTTAAAGTTAGAAGGCAATCGACTCTCTTCTGTGACATTTTTCATCGCGACTACATAGAAATATCTGCAAATTTAAGGCAAAACATTTTTAAAAGTACATGCATAACCTCTGCTTTTGTTAATGGTTAAAATATATGTTATGCATGAATCCGCACTGCCAGAAAAAAGCGACGAGTCATCAAAGCTTTTCCCAAGAGAGATATTTAGACTACCTGGATCCCACATGAAAACAACTGTCCTATACTTAGCCATGAATCCGAAAAACTCAAAAAATACTTTTAAGTTCCTTTAAGTTATTTTTACAATAATTTGCTCTAGTAAAATACATAGTTACCGATATTCCACATTTGGATTTTGCAACAAATAAGTCAACGTATTTCCAATCTGCTTGGTGGACAGTTCAGGTGCCACTAAATAAATAAACTTGAATAAATTTATCATCTTAAACAAACCTGTGCATAAACCATAGACAACTTACATCATTTGTAAATACCCATGTAACATTGCTGTAACATCCAGATCCCACTATTGTAGAAGCTAAAACACGAACATAATATTTTGTCCCTGGTTTCACATTATTTATGTCCAAACGCTGTTCCTCGATCATATACTTCATTGAACAGGTTTCATTCTCCAAATGTGTAATACAAACAGTGTAATTGACTATCTTTCCATTTGTTTTGTTCTTGTCTGGTGGCTCCCACGTAACTGATAACGATGAACTGCTTAAGGCGACAATTTGAACATTTAAAGGTGGACCTTCGGGAACTAAACAAAAATAAAAATTTGTTTTAAAGATTTATATAAAATATTGAATACACTTTAGAAAGAAGTCCTAACAAGTGTACACTGTCATTGTTAACTTAAATATAGTACAGTATAAAAAAAAATTATGATTGAAATAAATATCGACCAGAAAAGATTTGAGCTTTCAAAAGTCGTCTATGGCAATAACACCATCAATGCAACAACAGACGATATGTATACACAAAAACTGATATTAACTCACCATCTTCAGCAGTTCTAAAAGTAGCTGTAGTTGATCTACCAAAGCCTTCAGAATTGCCAGCTGTTACACTAACTTTATACGTTGCGTAAGGAACAAGATTCGTAATGTTGTACGGTTTTTTGTCAGTTACCTCCAGAGTTTTATTAAAAACAATCGTAGTATCCTTCAGCAAAATCAATCGATATCTTGTAAGAGGATTCGAGATATTTGTACCAAGTTTTACACCAGTTTTTTTGGGATGTTTCCATGATATCTCGAGGTACGTCGATGCAGATTTGGTTGCAATGAGATCTGTTGGTTTGTCTGGGAGTAAGTCTGCACGATAATAAAAAATCTACAAATTGAACCATTTGTAGCCCCTAAGTGAAATAAGTGTTCTGCTTTTTCTCCAATAACACGTGTTAAACTTAACTGCATGTTGAAAAGGCTTGTTTTAATAAGTTTATTTCAACAGAGAAAGAAACTAACACTTCAGCCTTCATGAAAAATTGTTCTGTTTTGTAAACTAACTCATGTTTAATTAATACTCAAAGAAAAAAACTTTATATATTGAAAAATTAAGTGCTTACAGTGCAAAGTAAACCTGGTGTATTTTTCTACCTCTTACCTCCACCACAAATTTCAATTCGTAAACACGGTGCACCAACAAATTTCAATGGAAAGATTCGCAAAGCTTTGGATTTAAGGCCACCAGAAAACTTTTCTATAGCCGCATCATTGTAACCATTTTGTTTCCTAGATAAATCTGGAATAAAACAAAAAATTGATTTTCGTGTATTTGCAGAGCAAGGTTAGAGAAAAGAAAGGTTTGTTTAACGCTGTCCAGAGGAGAGTAGTTTATGCATTGTCTATGTATCTCTTCAAATCATGCACATAGCTACAATTTAAACTTTATAATCAAATGCAAGAGTCCTTCGTAGTGCAAGAGTAACCAAGACAATCAACACAGTGACGTAGCTAGCCCACAAATTTGGTCGTGCTATATGTAAATTTCACAGAGCTCACTAACTGTAAAAACAATAGGTCTCTAAAGAAATGAATAATGATAATGATCTGAAAATTACATATAACCAGCAATTTTACGTGCCGGCTACACCACTGAATCAACATATGCACACAAGTTTGTATATAAATAGCAAATTAAAAGTTTACTTAGTTTATAACTTCATTCTTGTTTTAAATTTCCCATTAAATTTATAATATACAAATTCTATAAATCTACTGTTACCTTCTTGGATTTTTTAGATTTCCAGTTCACACCATCAATGTTTGTCTGCAAGTGATATTTAGTTACAAAGCTTGAACTTGAACTGTCTCCAAAGATAGTGATAACGTTAACTGTATAAAGACTCGGAAAATTCAGTTGAAGATAATGACTGCCATTAGCAGCAGGAGCACACCATGAACTACCACTGGATATTCTTGCTTTAGCAGCACTACGACTCTTTGGGAAGGCAGTAAACCAAGAATCTGGGAATTTTTCTGCGTTTTTCAATAGAGGATTATCACAAACATGACCTTAAATAGAAAAGGATTTGGTTGAAATGCATTATAACATTAGAACTGGTTTGATTTGATAGAGAGCAATGGTGCACTCTCATATTGTTCTCCATTCACGTAAAATTGGAAAAATTAAAACTGTTTTCTTAAGAAAGAAAAGAGCACAAGATATATTGGAGGAATACGACTGATTTTGCATGCTTTTATTAAATAAGGTTAAATTCCAGTTGGAATCAAGCCAGCTATGACAAGAAACCGTAAGTATCTTGTCAAATAACAACAATACCGTAGCGATTTAAATTCCATTAAAGAGTGAACGTCAATCGTATTGCAGAGGAATGACAATTGGACATTTTTTGAAGCACGAAATGAAGTAGCAAGAGTAAAATTAATTTAATCCTCAGTATTCGCAGCAATCCTGTTTTAATTATTTATTATTTAAGAGTAGCAATCGTTTATATTTTGTGATGCTATATTTCTTTGTTATGTAAAAGAATTGTGAAATTCTCCAAGTCAGCGTAAAATACAGTGACACTACGATGTCAGATGTAAGTCTTGATGATAGAGGTAAGTCATGATGCTTAACAATAGACAGATGTAAGTTGAGAACACAAAAGTAACACATTCATTCCTTAAATTCTTCGCTAAAAATCTTTTCTAACGTCATTTAAATGTGTCCTGCAATACGTTAATACATTCAAAAAATTGAATGAGAATGCTTACATGTAACGTACGAGTATTGAGAGCAATCATTATTTTGAGTGATAGCACATTGAGATAAATCGTTCACTCGAGCATCACATTTGACAATTCCAGGTATAAACGATTGATGCATCAAAGATGATAGTGACATTGAGCCTCCCCCAGATGCTGCGGTAGGATAACCAAGTTGTTTACAATAATCGTCTTTATTTTGTGCAAAAGACCTTTGTTGCAAATGGTGAAGTTTCTAAACTTGGTAATAACATTCACGACACCTTCGTTCGGAAGATTCGACTTAGACAGGCGTACATCCATAACTACACAAATCAAAATTATTTTTCCTTTAATTGTGATTATGGCGCATATCTTAAAGTGAAATCTGTGTTTTAGAAGTGGTTTTATGAACATAAATATGACAAATCTCGTCCATGAATAAAATATATACGGAGTTTGAATATCAGAAGAACACAGAAGGTGACATTAACTTAAAAAATTTTAGTTTGAAAGCACTTAACCAGAAATGTTTTCCACATTCTGATGGACACAGTATCTTATAGATTTACACTTAAAGTTGGTAAGCACTGTTTTGATTTTAATCTTTAAGTTGACAATGAACTACAGGCAAATAAGTTGAACTTAGAACTTTTCTCTTGTGTTGTAAACACGAATCACAACAAAATGTGTCTAAGTGATTATGTGAATCATTAATAAAACCAGAACAAATACCGTTTTTTATAGGTGAGCGCTGCGTTTAGCTTCCCAATTCATAGGAATTGTAATGAATATATCTTTGTACATATATGCAGTATATGTAAAAATTCTGTAGTGTGAAGTCATGAAAATATGAATACAAATGCAATTGTAAATGTCGCTTTCCGCCTACATAGAATGACCAAAATACTTTAAAAATGAAATAGATTTGGTAAATCAAATTGACTGGAAGAAGATATGTTTCCATGAACAAAGTTTGCATTAACAAACTAAAAACACAAAATTCACCAAACCATTAAACTTATGAAAAATATTTAGGACACAAGTTTAAATGTCACATTATAAAAAGACACTAAATTATACAATACGAGATAAAACTGCATAAACAAACCACGCCTGGTGAAGACACTCGACGAAAATTCAAATTTGTGTCAACTTTTCTAAATTGATAACGTATTTAGTATAAAAATGAGCACCATACCATTGCGCATTAAGGTCAAAATTTGACCCGAAGCTCTTTAATAATAAGCAAAATATAATCTGTCCATATAATACTTACGATTGCAAATTTTTCTGTATGGCATACTTGTGTAGTTACATTGATATTCAAAGTAAAGATATTTCTCCAAACCAGGACAAATATTTGAAGGGAAATGATTATCATCAACAGTTACATTACATTTTCTTTCACCATCACAGTAATGTTTAAGGTTACATGTTACATCGACACTACAACTGTAGCTATAACTGTGGCCACAATAGCTTCCTTTTCGGAAACCACGATATTCTGCAACTTTTATCACCATATATTGATTATTAGAACAACTAACGTCCGATATATTTTTTCCCGCACATGTCACTGAGCCTATAGAAGACACACAAAAAATAAGTAAATTCATATCTATGCAAGCTTATTTGTGAATTCCTGTAAAATAAAACTTGATTTAATAAAAATGAAGTGTGTGATGGTAGTGACTTCACTGGCGCCATTCCTATATCTGTGTTCTTGCAGTGGCTTTTAATTAGAGTTTAGGTATATATACGCTAACTGGATGAATATTCTCACTTGCCAAAATTGAATCGCTGATTTTCTTCATTTTTACAATTGGCCAGTGTCAAGTCGTAATATCTTCCTATAGCTATTATGCATTTATTATTGCGTGAGGAGTATAGACCACCCCAATTTGTTTGGGTTATGGTATTGATGGCTCCGCATTCATCATTTAAAATTCTAAAAGATAATAACCACACATCTCCGTATCGTAAGACAAGACACCTTCTTGTATTTGACAAATTGATGGAGCCAGATTGTGAAAATTTAAAATAAGATGACTCCTCAAAACAATTTATTAAATACAGGACGGAAGAGGAGGGTAAACTATCCCGAACACAATTTCCTGACTGAACATTTTTGATGAAAAATCCATTCGTATCTGAAAAAGGACAATGATACATGATAAAATTAATTGAAAATACCACACTCTACAAAATATATATCTAAAATTAATATGACTTTATGAAAAATAATTTAGCATACTGAATTCTATCAATATAGGAAAAAACACTACAAAAAAAAGCCACCTTGTAATTCAAGCTTTCTAAAGAATTAAATAAACCAATTGCTGTTGAGGGTCATTTTAAAAATAATGGCGTATAAACAATTTAAGGCATTCAGCATGAAGCATTGATCTAAAATACATGGAACGCTACCTGTAATACAAAACTCTAATAATTTTCTAAAGCCGTGATTTTACCCCAGACACGCAAGACTTTACCCCAAACACGAGTGTGTAGTCAATCAATTTTTACTCCGCGAGAGGAACTCGAAACACTAAACGCGCGTGTCTTGGGTAAAATCTCGCGTGTGTAGCGTAAAATATGGTTCAATTATATGCTTGATGTAGCGTTCCATGTATTTTAGTTCAATGGCATGGAGACTGAAAAATTTTACAAACAAGTTGAAAAGTGTAAAAAATCAATTAGTAAAAATTTCACGGCGCACGGTCTGTTACGATGGAAAAGGAAGAGTTATGGTTTGTTTACGCAATTGAAATATTTGAAATATTTTAAGATTGTTTGCTGAACCTCATTTTTCAACTGTATAAACTTCTATGACTTTCGTTTTTGATGAAAAGGAAGTTTATCTAAACACTTATACAAATTTGTGCCCAGAAAAAGTTGATGATTTAGGTTAGTATTATTCAAACTTGAAGACAAGGAATATATAATTCAATGTAAAACTGAATTGTGAACTCTGTAAGCTGTACACTCTTTTTGGTGGAGTTCATTTAAGTTGTGCTGTGAAATAGTGCTCTTGATAATAAAAATACCAGTGTTGCACAATTTAAAATTGCAAACACTTTAAATAAATATCATGCCCAAGGCTTATAAAAAATCGTGAGGCTTTTTACTGGTTTATACAGGTTTATACATGCAGAGGAGAGATGCATATAAATATGTACAGAGATATTGTACAGAGGGTTAATGTACAACGAAATTTATTTCTACTGAAGTGATATAAGAACATTCTCCCGTTAAAAATATTTAACAATTTTTGGATTAAGTTGAGCATGATATAAAAGAATATTCAGACCGAGGTCAATTGGATATCTACCGAAGCAAATCTGAGGGGGATAGCGCTGACTGCAGTCTGATTGAAAAATTTTTGCGGTTCGCTTTCGTCTATTTCCTGTAAATACGCGATGAAAACTCTCTGGACAAACAGTTTAACACTTTCGGTGTTTTTTCGTCTATATTCCCGATAATTTGAGCAGAGTAAAACACTTGAAAGTCTCGATGAAGATTCTACCAAAATATTTCTTGTATATACAGTTGTCTCATAAAGAAAATTCGTCACCTACAGGTAATTTTCAATGTTTTCTAGGTGATAGTGTATTGATAATTATTTGAAGGCTTTTAGACAATCACAATCGAGATTGCATCACCGTTGTATTATAATAATAAAGCTTAACTAGCACAGATCAATATATGAACATCTTAACCCTAACCCTCACACCCATTAACAAACAACCAAAATCTTCCAACGTGATCGTTAATGAATAAAATCAATAAACCCGAAAATAACCAAGACACGCTCTTGAATTGAGCTTTTACTCTTTTTTAGGTTTACATTATAATATATGTATGACGAATTAAACACGTTTGGCTGTTCCGGGGTGTATTCTATTAGCTTTGCAACTGCAAAGAAATTGACTTAAGAGTATACGTACATGATGAATTAAATATAGGACAAAGTGCCGTATGGATTTGAGCGAAGTTGAATTTGAAGCATTATAATCACATTGGTGTACTATAAATTAAACTGACACAGGAGAAACTAAAATGAACTGCCCTTGCATGTACCTTTAGGTCGTTTACGGTTTATGTTGACGACAACATAACAGGTGTGACTTTTTCCACCGTATAAAACATAGTTGTAAGGGATTTTGTGTTGTCCGATTCCAAAATCATATGAAAGAAGATAAAATGACGTTTCTATTTTTTCATTTATGTACTTATGTGAACACGTGAAGTTTTTTGGTTCTTTCCATTTTTCGTATAATTCATGTGGATAAAGACGAACGTGTGACACAGCAGTAACGTTCAAAATAGTCGGGCTGCATCCACATGTCCCTAACAAAAAATTAAGTTATCTTTAACTGGTTGTCCAGAGAACAAAAACAAGTAGAAAGTGACACTCATTTGGCCACAAAATGTTAAAAACTATTCACATTGAATCGAAAGTCTACGTTAAACCCAAATAGACAATAACTATACAAACTTTAACATATAACAGCATATATTACTATTTTTGACTCTACTGTCATATTACTTTGCTTTTGTAACTAGACAGAGGAACAATGATTGAGAGATTATGCTGTGTCAATGCTGTGAAGCTAGTGTATCCAAATCAGTTGAGTACTTTAACATGTACCTTACGGGTTCAAACCATTTACTTCAGGTACCTTACTTTATTGCACTTTCTAAAAACACGGTTTCAACTACATATTTAAATTAAACAGTGCCTCAGTAATATAAGTGTTGTGATTGTTTGCCAAGTACATTTCCAGTTGATGTTCTGTACTTACTGTAAACTAAACTGTTGTTTACTTTACCTTCGAGTGGACATATTTCACTAAACATTTTAAATCGCTCCAAAAGATATTTCTTCTCCTCAACACAACAACGTGTACGAGTATTGTCGCATTTCGAATCGATTTCAGATTTGTCCGCCACAAATTTCTTCCATTCTTCCTCACAAAACTCAAGCTCTTCATTCCAACCCATTTTCATTGTGAATCCTTGACCAAATAACAGCCACAATAACCACCATATCATTAAACTCATCATTGCATAGATCCAAGGATATACAGTAAAGCTCTAAATTATAATTGATTGTTGGATGTATGTACGTTATCACAGAAGACTTTAAATTTATATTTAGATCGACAATGACTACGTCACAATTACATCTGTGATGCAAGCAGATCACGATCAAAACGTATTTTTGAGCAATATATGAGCATTATCTAAAAATTCATTTCAGCAAAATTGTGTAGAAAAACTGTTCAGAAATAGATCGAGTTAGTCTCATATGGCTGCATGATGGCTCTCTTATTGGTAGCCACTGTAGCTATTATATAGGTACGTGGTTATAATTTTTTAAAATAATGAAACTTGGTTAACTTTAAATTTATGCTTTATTCTTCTTACTCGGTTCAATATAAATTTCAACTTTTGTGTTTCAAGAGATTTATTGAACGATGAAAAATGCTTTTAGTGGATAGCGCTAAGGAAGTGAAGAAAGCGAGATCAAATTAAAATCAAAGCAAATCATTTATTTTAGATATAATAGATTAAAAACCCAAGACGATGTTAAAATTCTTTATATGAATATGAAAATAACAATTGTGCATGCAGAGCTTCCCATTAGCTATTTCATTTCAATTTCCTGTTATGTCATCCTACATGTAAAAAACCTATGAAATCATTAAGTACTTTACGATTTCTTGTAACGCAGCCTCTATAGCTGTACAGTTATACCCCATATTGCCTCTATAGCTATACCCGTATTACATTTTCATTCGAATTTTATAATTCATCGAATTAAACACATTAGAAGCTATGAAACAGCTAAATTACTCAGTTGACAAGTTCAAAAAGTTACAGTTGAAAAATTAACTAAATAAATTAAAAATTTCAAAAAATAATGACCAAAAATAATGTTGAAACTAGTGTTAGATATGTACATTACATGCACAGTGGAGCTTTATTTCTATTGAGAAGGAAGTGCTCGCGATATAAACGAACGTCGATATTAAGGGCAGCTAAGTAGTTTTGAGTTTCAGCGTTATCTTGAGATTGTTCAAATTCTTTTATAAAAACTAACAGAAATATCACAGAAAATCGTGGAAATATTTTGCAACTTTTAACATTTTTTCAATGTTGTTGTTACTCCTTTGTTTGCAGTTTTCGTGGAGTACTAACTGACAATGAATGCTCCATAAGAATTGAAAATTTCAAGCGGATTTCTTTTCAATTTTTCGCAGGTGCCGCTGAAGAACAAAACTATTTACAGAACAGTGGAATAGGGTTTGTTTTTGATTTGGTTGAGAGATTTTTGCGAAAATATAATAATATATATGACTCAAAATATGAATGTTTTAACCTGTCCCGAATCCTACATCAAGCATGGAGGTATTGTGGTAAATGAAACTCAGTGGAAGAAAAAACTTGCTGTATTAAATATTAACATGGCATCGACGATAAAGAAACTTCCGTTTTACTATCTTACCTTTATTCTTTTATTAATTGAAAAACGGACACAATATGGCGACTGCAGAAATACACCTTACACAAGCAGAGAAAAATTAAGATACGTTCAAGTCAGACGAGCAAAAGAGTTGTGGCTTTCGCAAGGTTTTACTTGCAACTGCTGGCCAAGGCTGTCGGCTTCCTTAAATGTAGAATGTCATACTGAGTATATGCAAACACTCATGCCATCTGCCCCAGTTATTCAACATTTTATAGAATTTTTCTTGCGTCAAATCCTATCCTTTACGAATCAACAATAATACTTTAAATGTGTTAGTTAATTTGGATGCTGTGGTTAGTTGACGAAGCAATGTTATAGAAGATAAAGTTTTTGATATTTTAGAGAATTACCTCTGTTTATAGCTACGAAGCAACGAAGCACAAATAATGCATCCAATGTGGGCAAACACGGCAAAGCAGGTTAATGACTTCAAGTGCTCAATGACGAAAAATTATATTGCTCCAATATAAAACTTTTTTAAGTTTTTGACTATCAACTTCACCAGCAGTGAATTCAAGTTTGCCGACAGTCATTAGCAAAATTTCAGGCCCTAAATAGAACGAATTGTGTCGGACCGAACTATACAGTAAATTTACTATTTACTATCATAATAATAAAGCTTAACTAGCATAGATCAATATATGAACACCTTAACCCTAACCCTCACACCCCTTAGCAAACAACCAAAATCTTCCAACGTAATCGTTACTTAATAAAATTAATAAACGCAAAAATAACCAAGACACGCTCTTGAATTGAGCTTTTTTTTTTACAGGTTTACATTATAATAAATGTATGACGAATTGAACATGTTCAAATTTTCGGGGAGTGTATTCTATTAGAATTCATGTGTTGATGAGAAAGCGACGTGTCATTTGGTCATATATGCGGGAAGGAAAACCGATTTTGACGAGTAACTTTTTTGTAAATTAGAGTTCTATGTGGAAAAATTTTCGGAAGAGATTTGATGAAATACACAGGAAGCTAGTGAACGTTTGTAACTAAGTAGAATGAAGCTGTGGAAGTTAGCAAAGAGGTCAGTGATGGTATAGGTTTGCGGCTAATGGAAGGGGTGAGTTTTACATTTGTGTACTTATTCAAGTGTGGCAGCTGCAACGCTCACAGGTAACTAATATCCCGCCCTACGTTATCAAGCAATTTTGCTCACATAAACACATGTGGAAACACCCCAACCTTGAGAATTGTAAAATAATTTTCTCTTCTCACGATCCATACAAACTCTCTATTCATGAGAACATCCTAATCACAAGCCTTCACCTAATGTCCTAGAGAGTTCTATTCCACGCTATCCCTTTAAATTGCAATTTATTGTGCTTCCTAACTTCGTAATTTATGTAATGTATTCGACACTGACTTCTTTTGTATTCTAACACCATATGTAAATATGATTATTTACATATAAGTAGCATATCCTATTAAGAATGCAATAATAGTCATTACTGTCTGAAGATGTCTTAAGTAAAGACAAAACGTTACAATAAATTCCATTTTTGAAACTGCTATACTTTTGGCTCAACTTAAAGCCTTATGTTGGCATTAATTTTTATCACCCAAATTTGATTTACGCTGCAGGACGCCTCTCGCTACTATCTTAAAAAATAAATCGTTTCAAGTTGTGTCGTCAAGATAATAAAACTCACTTTACAAGTGTTCTTTCTTCGACTCAGATTCGTATATGGTTTTTGTTTCGTATTTTGCCTTTTGCTATTTGCTTCACGAAGTTTGTTTACGTTTATTTGAAAATATACATGTAATGGACTGCTGGTCCGCTATGAAAAAGTAAACAACAGGGAAAATGTTTCTGAACCAATCAAAGTGCGCCGTTTCACCGGAAGTTACGCTTGCGATATTTCAATGTGATTTGTTGCATCTGAAAGAATTGACAAAGTTTGAAAAAAGGGTTGCTGAATTGGAGATCACATTGATGAAAGATTGTATGTAGTTCACATACGTAGACTAACAATTTCACTCTTCATCTACAACATTTTGGAAAATCGTGTGATTGTAATGAGTGATATTCTTGCTTGCATGCAGAAAAATTTACGCTTATACTTTTGCTATAAACGAGATTACTTACCGCTGATCCAGAGAGCAACGCAGCAATTAGATGCATTATAATACATCAACCACTTGGACAGATTAACGGAATCTGCAAGAATAGAGATATCAAATAGAACCACCACTAAAATAAAAAATAATTTTGATGATAATAACATAGATTGAATTAAGAATACGCCAGTTTCAATTAAAATTGACTTCCAAAATATAAGGATTGGTTTGTTGCACAGTTCCCACCCTCCCCTCCCACGTACATGAAGAAAAGAGAGCTTCAATATCCGTGCGATTATGTGAGACGTTAAATGAAGGCGCACTCCATACACATACATGATCTGCACACAACAATAAAAGCTCATTCGACTTCAGGAGTTCTTTTTAAACCTTCCACTTCAGGTAAAATTTCTACCAAACCGTGATTATTTTTCGGGTGAGCGCCATAATTTTCAGTGACGCGTAGTTGATTACGGGTATCGACCAACTTTAATTGATGTTCTTTAAAAATTAAAAACATATATGTATTATTAATTATTAACATTTATTACTATTTCACTCATTGTACATTTTATCATCAGGTTTTTATAATCTGTCTGATATAGAATCTTCAGTTCGTAAATAATCCATAAAGAGTAATATCACTCTATAGAATACACACAAAATACGAAGTAATACGAACAAAAATCTACTTTACATGTCAGCCAGTCCACTTCGTGCTTCCTAAATCAACGTTTTTAATCTACATAAACTAGACAGCAAAAAAATGAATTTTATGATAACGATGTCATTTTTAGTCACGACTGAATCCAACAAACCTGTTGCTTTTAGTTGTTTACATTGGTCAAATATTGGATATTTCCAAAAGATAAACAGAAAACTTATTATAATAAAACAGAAAAAACCCAACATGTTTGTCAAAACCAATAATGAAAAGGAAGACAAACTTACATAATAATAAAATTTTAAAAGTAATCGAAGTCCTTTATCGATACCACGCAGTATCGACTACTTCCGGATTAGGCTCGGTATCGGGCGGTATCGATACCAAGTAATCGGTAATCGCCCAACACTAGATTTCACCAACCTGGACGATCTACATCTACAAACATATAACGATACTTAACCTGGACTCTCCTTAATAAAACTAAAGTAAATATTTGAATGTTTTTATGTTGAATTCTATTCTTTCATGGAAGACAAAATTGCAGAGCATGTAACATTCCAGCAACCATCAAAAAAAATTTTCCAGAAATTTGTACAGTATAAAAATTCAACTTCCACCTATTTCCGAGAAATTTGAGTAGTCGTCGAAAAACTCCAATACGCAGTTCACTGCACGGTAGCAGAGTTTGAATTGATCCTAAATAATAAAAATGTTATAGAAATAATCAAAAAACTAAGTACGTCACCAAGGTTAGTCGAACTAAATAAAATTCAATGTGTAAGTTTCCAGAAACATTCTGTTTAGAAATTGTTGATGTTTGACAAACAGCCATTAGACAGTGGCGCTCGCAGAAACCTATTTTAATGAGGGGGACACCTCCGTAGGTCGGAGAAAATTTCGTATACAAGCAAGAATTATAAAGTTGAAATTCGGCAATATCCATACAACATATAATAATCGTAAATGTGTTAAAGTGTAAAAGGTGTTGATATAAATAAAGTCAAAACTACAAATTTTTTATGATCTATTTAGTAGAGGCTGCATAGTTCATAAATGAGAAGAGCGCTCGGTGTTGGTGCAATTAGGACTTCATGAGAATTAGACAAGCTTACCGCCGTTTCGACGAACTGCGGGCGTCTATTCCGGATTAGCTTGATACATTGGAAGGCATCCATCGCTTGGACAATTTTGATGCGGTCGACAAGATTTGAGATAGCAATATATGTACCAGAGTGACCTGCACCGTCACTGGATTAAAAAAATTAGTATTTTTGTGTTTGTAGCAAATTTTTTGTAGAGATCTTCATTTAGATCTTAAACCGCCAAATTATAACCACGAGAGCGACGAGGTTAATCACTTGCTAATATTCGAGTCACACGTGTTTTACCTGCACATAACAATGACAGGTCTATTTACATCAGCAGCTCTTTGTGAATGTTCAACTTTAGATAAAATTTCCACCATACTGTGAACATCTTTAGAAACATCATGAACCGGCCACGATATGTCATGAATCACGGACCATACGACCTTTTTTAATGTCCTAAGAAGCAAAAAATAAATAAATGTAACAAATCATTTACTCATAAAGACATTCTTTAAAAATCTATTGTTCTTACGGTCAGTAAACACAAAAATATTTGCTGCAACTGCGTAAAACACTATTGATATTGCGCATTTAATAAATACGACGGGTTTTAAAAGAAGCATTTCACAATAACAAAACTAATCGTAATCTCAACGTTCACGTTTTCGTTTTAACACTATATTCCGCCTGTAATTACACTCATAAATTAGTTCCAACCAGTATTTCATTTTAATATTTATAATCTACTGATAATTGTATCACTGCATCATATTACTCTTATATAAAATTATCTTGCATATACATAATATTCTTATTATACTGAAGATGCAATCATAAGATGTTGAAACACATTTATTTTAAAACAACTCGTCGCATTTATTAAATGCAAAAAATATTTGCATAGCGTGAGTAAAGTCAGACTGACTACGCTACTGCATAAACATATACATATGAACTTTGTATGAAAATGAAGTGTATTGATTTATTTGCAACCAATTATTTAAAGCAGAGATTTAAATATGTTTATAGAAATTTCTTTTTATCCGAATGATTCTGACTTTTCTCTTATAGAAACGTATTGATTGTAGGCACGCATTTCTGATTTTTCCTTCAAGATAATGAATGTTTTATTGTTTTATTGCAGGTATGTCGAAGCCTGTAATTGAATGTTGAATCTTCTTTAATGATGAGCAAATGGTGTTAAAGCACAACAAAGAAGTATCAAAAGACCAGTTGCTAAAAATACTATCTTCACACAACTATAAAAGTAACTAGTATGAAATGAAGATACTGGACTGGATTACTTTGACTTTAATTTTTATATACAGCTATACAACCATTGTAATTATACAAAAAATCACTCCACACAAAGACTGGAACACATAATGACTTAAGTTTCAACATCAGATCACTTTTTAAAGGACACTAATCACAAGACAAAAATATATTAAAACTTTTTACATTGATCATATCAGATAAGGCGACTCACAATTTTGATATCTGGAATTCAACTCTAAGATTCACTTCTTGAAGACATCAAATATAAAACCACAGATCATACCAAAAGGTTTTTGATCTACATATCAAATTGCCTGTGATTTTTGATTTTCTAATTTATTCGTATAAATGTAATTTAGAGAAACTACAACGTATAATTCTAATTTAATTGGATGCCGCATCAGCAAAAAATAAAAGGAAAAATACGAATAGCACACAAATACAGGCATGGAGAATATTTAGTCGTCTGCTGAGTCTTTTTTATTCGGCTTTGTCTCAAAACATGTTGACTAATGATTGTCAATTTCAAAAGGTCAACTTAACGCCAACGAAGTACAAAGTGAAAAAAAATGTAATAAAATATTTAAGAACAGACAATTAATATTGAAAAGGAATTCAATACCTTTTTGATGACAAATTTCGTCCGTAACCACAAGACTGTCCAAATTCTTACTATCCGCCATATTGCATGACATCATTTAACTAGTGAACTCAATATTTAAATAACTGGAATGAAAGCATAAGCCAAAAATTGAAACCAGTTCGGCAATTGCGCTTCATGATTTGTACATCTTGTAAAATTTTGTGTCATTGCTACAAAGCCATGTCTTCTTTTCTGTTAATCCCCAATCTAAGCCGAAGCATTTGCAGTCAAATCATTAAGGAAATTTAATTTCCCGATCATTTTCAATGTTTAAAATGAACATTATCATGACGATATAAAGCAAAACGGGAAAGGACAAGAATAGCGCCATCTTATTAACACTAACAAAATCAACTCCATCCACTAAAACTCCTTGTTTCTCACGTTAGGTAAATTCATGTGATGAACGACTATATCACGAGGAAGATTATCCAAAGATTTGTGGGGTAGAAAATTTGAGTATTATATCAGCAACTAATTAAATAGTCACTTCGTAAGAACTACCGTAGTAATTGAGTCTTCTCATAGTGGGTTAGAACATTCTGATGATTCCAAAATACAATCCACTTTCACAATGCCAAATCGTACATCCAGTGCCTACGTATACTGAGTTGTAATTTTCCTTTCTAAAAGGTAAGTTCTTTATTACTTCTATACAAATTACAATCATTGTTAAATAATTTTAATGAACAAGCAAGCGGTTGATAAACTAACCTATAGATTAAGACATTAAAGTGAGCAGTCGCCGCAGAGTGTTTGATTTGAGCATTTGATAATTTAAATTTCTATTCAGAACTATTCCAGACTTGCAACCATTTTCTTGAGATTTACCAAACAATGTTGCTCGCCTACGTCGGCTAGTATGAACAACAACACTAATAAAATATTCATTTCTATCAAACGGCCAACATGGCTGAATTGCAAGTCAAGAATTCACTCTCATCAAATGTTGTCAGTAGATGTTAAATAACTTCAACACGCATTTTAACTGCACGTTCGAGTACAAGAGTTTAGATTGATCCTAACGAACAGCCAATACGACAAGAATAAAAACCAACCCGGAGCAGCAACTGCACCAGTAAAAGCACCATCATTTCTACCGTTTATAGGATATAAATGAATGACAAAGATGAACTTAATAAACATTAAGTGAGCAGGAGGCGGACAAAAAAAGCAACTGAACTATAAATAACACGTGATTACTTGAAGATATCAATAGACTACTTGATATTACATGACGAGAAGAAACTGTTTTACTTGGGGTTCGTCTGCTCATATTCTTAGGAAGTGAAAGCTCATACATCATAATCGTTGGTGTGTGTTCCAACTAATAAAAACTAATGAATCGGAGAAACTCGTGATAGGGTTGGCTATATTTTTCATATCTAGAGTCGAGAATCTCTGAATGATATTCTGTACTTCTGTATTTGTAACAATTTGATATTTTACTCATAATTCAAACATAATTCTAACGCAAATATAAATTTTAAACGGGTTTAATGTTGCGGAAGTTTAGTACCGACTACCTAGATCAGTCTTTTAGTGGGTGTTCCGGCCAGTGTTGAAAAACAAGAGAGGAGTTGACAAAAAACCATAGGAGAGAAGGACGTGTTGGGAGATCATATGCATTTTTCTTGTTTTGTAAAATCTTGTCTGGTAGCTTCAAACCCATTTCTTTTTTTTCGTTGATCTCTAGTCTACAGCCAAACATAATGCTTTTAGTACTCTAGCAATCAAATTATCAGAAAATTCAATTAACTCGATAACTTTGGATGAGTTTAAAATGAACATTATAATGGGGATAATAGGCAAAAACAAGAAAGAACAAGAACAGCAACATTATACTAACACAAATATAGTTGGTAACAAAGTAAACTCCATCCACTAAAACTTCTTTCTTACGTCAGGTAAATTAATGAGATGCCAGTGTGTACATATTCATATATATTCCATTGACTCCAAAATTATGAATGAATGAAAATCCCGTTCCCCCCCAACTTATTTAAATAAATTACTGTTTATTTGTAATTTAACTTTATTTCTTATTTAATGTACTTAGATAAAAAGTATTACAACTATTATCCTATTTCAAATATTGACTACATCCGTAGCCTTAAAAATTTGATGTTATGTTCCAAATTGTTTTCAAATACTCTTCATAATCATTCACTCTCGTTCACTCTTATAGTTAAAAAGGAAATAAAATTCTATGCTTAATCATATTCTTCTATAGTACGTTAAATTTCAGAAAACGTCTAATAATTTCGCGAAAAAAATTCAACTTCCCCATTTTTGAGAACTTTTAGTAGCCGTCAAATAACTACAATACGCAGTTCACTGCACTGTAGCAGAGTTTGAATTGATCCTAACAAAAAGAATGACCAATATGACAAAAATAATGAGCAAAATTGCAGCTACAACTGCACCAGCAATGGCTCCAATTTTTCCACCGTCTACAAGATAAAATTGAATGACAAATCATAACATTACCAACAAATATTGTCTTTCAGCGATCATTTTTGTAAAGCTGAGGGTGTAACCACTCTCACACCCCGTGTAATCATCCCTGTTAACTATTCATGATTTATTTATGGTATAAATTGGGTTTGAAATGCAATGAAATTAGAGAAGACGTACACAAAATCACTAAGGTAGTTATTTAAGGGAATTAAATCGGCTGTATCATCAAACAAAATGTATATTCATCGTTAAAAATTTTCAGGCATTTTACTATACTGAAATTTGCAAAGATCTTGAATCATTGCACTTTAGACATCGATAAACTTCCTTATGCTATTGAAAGCAAACACAAACCTGAAGACTTGTGCTTTTGGGCAGTTGCTGCCACTGGACTCCAGTCAGTGGAATAATAATCACCCTGAAACGAAGTGAACATTTATATTTGAATAAAATTGCAGCAATCAATCCTGATGAAAACGTAAATAAATGGTCGCACCTGATCATTTATCAAAACGCGTTGAAATATTTTGTAGTTAGTGCCAGGCTTTAGCGGGCCATTATAATAATTTTCACCATTGGAACGCCGTGTTGTGTTTTCAGCATGACCAAGTGTAAAATCAGGCTTAAAGTCTCTGCGAGAGACTACAGCAGCAATATACGGCATTGGTTGTGTGGAAGATATGGCCTTAGAATAAGTCACTAAGTCTGTGTTGTTAAAGTTAGAAGGCAATCGACTCTCTTCTGTGACATTTT